TCACAAACTCTTCCAGAAAGAAGGAAGGACCACTTCACTACTCATTCTATGAGGACATTATTACCCAAGGTAGACAAAGACCCCTCTGGAAAAACTTTTTTCCCTCAAGAATATAAATATGGACACCATCAAAATGTTAGCAAACCAAATCCAACAGCATTAAAATGCATTATACATAACGACTAAGTGGGATTTGGCCCAGAATTGGCTTAACATCCAAAAACCAAGCGGCATAATACATCATAATGTATTATTATGTATTATAATGCATAATATAAACAAAAAGAGTGTCTCAAGAGACAAAAGGCATTTGATAGGGGTGCCTGGGTGGCTCAGTAAGTTAAGCGTCTGCTTTTGGCTCAGATCATGATGCCAGGGTCCAGGGATCGAGCCCCGCATCAGGCTCCCTGCTCAGTGGGGCATCTGCTTATCCTTCTCCCTCTCCCTCTGCCCCTCTCCACCCTGGCTCATTCATTTTCTGTCAAGTAAATAAATTAAATCTTAAAAAAAAAAAGAAAAAGCCTTTGACAAAATCCCATACCCATTCATGGTAAAAACCCTTACTAGGAATAGAAGAGAATGTCCCTAAGGAGCATTTATGAAAAACATACAGTTAACATTATTCTTAAATTGGGAACTAAGCTAAGGTTGCCCATTCTCACCACTCTTATGCAGTACTGTAGTAGATGTTCTATCGAGGCAATTATGCAAAAAAGAAAGAAAAGCCATTCAGATTAGAAAGGAAAAACAAAAAATATATATTCAAAGACATGTTGATGTATATAGAAGATCTTAAGAACCTATTATCTAAAACCTACTAATCTAAACATCTAAAAAAGTGGGAGATTTGTAGACTGAAAACTATAAAACATTGCTGGAAGTAATTAGAGAAGTCCTAAATAAATAAATGGGAAGACATCAATCAGAATCCTTATGATTGTTAAGCTGGAAATACTACCAAAACCACAGCGTCTATTTTACTCTTTATCAAAATTTCTGCAGGCTTTTTTGCAGAAATTGACAAACTGCCTCTAAAATTCATGTGGAAATGCAAAAAACTCAGAAAAGCCAAAATAATCTTGAAAAAAACAAAGTTGGAGGAGTTAACACCTTCTGATTTCAAAACTTACCACAAAATCACAGCAACTGACACATTTCTAAATACTATGGACTGATCTTTATGACGTGTTATTAAACTAAAAAGGGGAGGGAGGGGCTCCTGGCTGGCTCAGTTGGCGGAGCGTGCAACTCTTTACCTCGAGGTTGTGTGTTTGAGCTCCACATTGGGTTTGGAGAGTATGTAAATAAAATTTATTTTAAAAAAAAGAGGATGGAGAAAATTGTACATAGAAACAAAAAATGTTTTATAAACAATAAAAATTGTTAATGGCTACTTATTTTTAAAATGGAGGCTAAAGGGAAAAGAGGACAGAGATAGAAGCTAGACATCTTGTAGCCATATAAATACTTAATAAAATTATCAAATATTAATAAAATTAAAAATAAATATTAATAAAATTATCAAACAAAATTTAAATAGCAGTTCCTCAGGGCACCTGGGTGGCTCAGTGAGTCAAGTGTTTGCCTTCAGCTCAGGTTATGATCTCAGTCGGGGTCCTGGGATGGAGCCCTACATCAGGCTTGCTGCTCAGTGGGGAGCCTGCTTCTCCCTCTCTCTCTGCACCTCCCACTGCTCATGGGTACTCTCATGCTCTCGCTCTCTCAAATAAAAATCTTTAATAAATAAATAGCAGTACCTCGATATCAAAACTGAAATGAATAAACATAATCATGTACTCAGTTTTGTTTTACCTGCAGACAAAACCTATTCCAAATGACTTTTTATACAGTAATTTGACTGAATATCCCAGCCCAGATTTCCTGAGCTCCAGACTCAATCAACTACCTGTTTAATATTTCTTCCTAGTTGTCTTCAGTTATCTCAAATTCAACATGTCTTAACTGGGAGTCTTGATTTTTCTCTCCTAAACCCAACACCCTCTCCTACTTCTCTCACTGACTCCCACCCCTTGAAAGCATCCAACTCTGGTAATGGAGCCACCATCCAATAAACTGCTTAAGGAAAAAATCTAGAAGTCATGTTTTGTTCCTTCCTGTCCCTCACTACATACAATCAGCAGTCCTGCACATTTTATCTCCAAAATGTATCTTGCATTTGTCCACTTTATTCCTGCACCAGTGAGGAGTTGTACAATTCTGGAAAGTCAGGCAGTAAACTAGAGGACTACTTTCACTTCTGCACCCTTAATAATCTGGAAAACAGCCCTTTGAAAGCCTTTGGAACATAAACTTCAAAAGTTGTATGGTTAGGTAAATTTTGCTTTCATACATGCTAGTGTTTAAAGAAATCCTCATTATAGTACACACACATTGATTACAACTGTGCAAAATACATGTTACTTTAACAAAATCAGAACACATCCTGGTTATTATTTCGGTTTAGAATTTAAATATTTTTCTCAGGGCCCCTGGGTGGCTCAGTCAGTTAAGCGGCTGACTCTTGATTTCCTCTCAGGTCATGATCTCAGGGTCCTGGGATCCACCTGTGGGTCAGGCTCTGTGCTCAGTGGGAAGTCTGCTCAAGGATTCACTATCTCCCTCTCCCTCTGTCCCACCCCTAGCTCATGCTCTCTCCCTCTCTCCAAAAAATAAATATCTTTTATGCAGAGAAAGAGGAACCCTCCTACACTGTTGGTGGGAAAGCAAGCTGGTGCAACCACTCTGGAAAACAGCACGGAGGTTCCTCAAAAAGTTGAAAATAGAGCAACCCTACAACCCAGCTATTGTAGTACTGAGTATTTACCCTAAAGATACAAATGTAGTGATCCGATGGGGCACATGCACCCAAATGTTTATAGCAGCAATGTCCACAATAGCCAAACTATGGAAAGAGCCTAGATGTCCATCAACAGATGAATGGATAAAGAAGATGTGGTATATGTATACAATGGAATACTATGCAGCCATAAAAAGAAACGAGATCTTGCCATTTGCAATGACATGGTTGGAACTAGAGGGTATTATGTTGAGCGAAATTAGTCAATCAGAGAAAGACAACTGTCATATGATCTCCCTGATATGAAGAAGTTGAGATGCAACGTGGGGGGTTTGGGGGGTAGAGAAGGAAAAAATGAAACAAGATGGGATTGGGAGGGAGACAAACATAAGAGACTCTTAATCTCATGAAACAAACTGAGGGTTGCTGGGGGGAGGGGGGTAGGGAGAGCGTGGTTGGGTTATGGACATTGGGGAGGGTATGTGCTATGGTGAGTGCTGTGAAGTGTGTAAACCTGGTGATTCACAGACATGTACTCCTGGGGCTAATAATACATTATATGTTAATAAGAAAAATTTTTTAAATTAAAAAAAAATCTTTTAAAAATCATTTTCTTCTTCCAAGTTAAACCCAACCCACAAAAATTCTTCAGTGAACAATCAAAACAAAGCTGACCTGGATTAGAAACAATAATCCGTTTGCAGCACAGACTCTATTAGATAATACTAGGAATCGTTAATTTAAACATGGACACATTTCACTGGACTAAATCAAGGCGTGTTTCTCCTTTTATCTGGCGTGCATCTGTGATAATCACTATGTTGGAGTTTGCAGTGACAAGGTAAACTGGGGAAAGATTTGAATAGAAAATACATAATAGAAGAAAACATCTGACATTTAACACCTTTTCTTTTTTAAGATTTTATTTATTTGATAGAGAGAGAGATACAGCAAGAGAGGGAACAGAAGCAAAAGGAGTGGGAGAAGGAGAAGAAGGCTTCCTGTCGAACAGGGAGCCCGATGTGGGCCTTGATCCCAGGATCCTGGGATCATGACCTGAGCTGAAGGCAGTCGCTTAATGACTGAGCCACCCAGGCACCCTTAACACCTTTTCTGTTGGGCTCCATCACCACACTGTTTATTGAATAGTTGGCTTCCTTAGATCTACTGTGCCCATAGCACTCTTTTAGATTCAAGAAATGTCACTAAGTTTTACTAAAATTACTGAAGTTTTCCTTGCACATTTTTAAAAAATATTTTATTTATCTGTCAGGGAGAGTGAGCAAGAGCAAGAGAGACCAAGCAGCAGGTAGAGGGAGAAGAAGACTCCCCGCTGAGCAAGGAGACCCCAATGTGGACTTGATCCCAGGACTCTGGGATTATGACCTGAGTCGAAGGCAGATGCTCAACCAACTGAGCCACCCACCCATCCCTCTGTACATTTTTTAAAAACCTCCTAACGGGGTTGACTGTTGCTCAGTCAGTTAATCGTCTGCCTTTGGCTCAGGTCATGATCCCAGAATCCTGGGATGGAGTCCCGCATCGAGCCTCCACGGGGCTCCCTGCTCAAATGGGTGGCTGCTTCTCCCTCCACAAATACTCACTTGCTCACTTGCTCTCAGATAAAATCCCTTAAAAAAAAAAAAAAAAAGAAGAACTTGGGCTTTTGAGTCGAATAGAACTGGGTTCAAATCCTTACTTCATTTTATTTAACTTCAGTTCACAGACACACCATCTGTAAACCCTCACAAAGTTGAGTTAAGGGTTAAATAATGTACATAAAGTGCTTAGCTGCTTAACTGCTATTACTGCTGCTCACAGGCAATCAGTCTGGTGCTCTAGGAAACCCTGAAAACAAATGGAAGTAAAACCTAATGATATTATGAGTATACAGAGTGGGGAACAACCAGCTGAGCATCTGACTCTTGATTTCAGCTCAGGTCATGCTCTCAGAGTTGTGAGATCAAGCCCCACATCGGGCTCCATGCTCAGCAAGCAGCCTCTCTCCTCTCTCTTGCTCGCTCACTCTCTCATTTTCCCTCAGTCCCTCCCCCTGCTCATGCTTACACGCAGGTGCTCTCTCTCTCTCTCAAATAAATCTTTAAAAGAAAAAAAAGAACTAAGTCTTTATAAAGTGAGATAAATGAATGATTTTATTCATGTAGCATTAGAATATTTATAGTACTTAACTATGACATTAACCTTTGCTAGAAACAATGTTAGGCATTTTCCTGAAAGGGCTGCCATGTTGAAGAGCCATTGTCTCGCCAGTCAACTTGCCTTCATCAACGTCCACAAAGGCAACTTCACCACTCAAGCCTTAAAAGAATTAGTCAAAAGCAGGGGGAGGGAGTAAACCTCTTAATTAAGTGGAGAATGAAAGAAAATTCTTATACCAGCTATCTATGTGTATCTTATGAGTTATTAGACTCAAAGGAGACATAGTATGTTCAACATTTCATGATATAAAAATCCAAACCAGATGAAATACAAGTTACAAACGAAGTTTCAGTTCACAATTAGGAAAACAACAGAAACAGTTTAATAAATAGGAGAGTCTCTGAAGGTAGGGAACACCTCTTTAATCGAAGCTGAGGCTGCACAGTGACAAAGCAGGACTTCTGTAGAAGGAGCTTCTCATCAGTCTCTGAGCTCCTGAGAGCAGGAAATGTTCACTCATCTCCACTGTGTGCTTAGCACCCACCTAACCCACAGCAGCTCAGTAACTGTTTTTTAAATAAATGGAGGAAAATATAAGGCCGCTTCCAACTCTAAAATGTTATGGTTCTATAATCAGGCAATATTATCTGCAAAAACTCATCAGTACTATATATTTCTAGCATGCTACTTTATATGTAAGAAAGAGGGAAAATAACATATTTGTATTTGCAAAAGAAACACCTGAAGATACACAAGAAACTAATTTAAATAGGTGCTTATAGCAGATGTTGGGGGAAAGGCTGGAAGGAAACTAGATGAAATATATACTTCGCCAGGTATATCTGTTTATTTTTCTTTTGTAATCCTGCAAATGTATTATTTTTTGAGAAAATGTTTTAAATAACTACAAATTTTTATGAATTTTAAATAACTAAAATTTTCACTAAAAATAAAATGACTGTTCTAGTACTTAGAAATAATCACACATCTATGATTTAAGTATATAAATATAAAGTCTAAGTATGTAAGTACATAAGTATTTAAGCATATAAGTCTAACTTATACTGTTGGATATTTTACTTTATTCTAATTAATGGAAATCCAAAGGCAAGCACTTTAAATTTTAAACTATATCATAACACAATTAAAAAAAAAAAAAAGAAAAAAAACTACACCATACCTGATTAGCTTAGAAGTCTAAACTATCACAAGGGAAATGTTGCTACTTAATGATAGGTCAGTGCTTTCTGAATACTCTGAATTATTCAGTGATTTGTAGTAGTATATAGCAGATTTATATAGTATCAATAAAATTATCTTTGAAAAGCTAATTTTTATTTTTCTTTATTAAAAAAATTTTTTTTTTATTTGACAGAGATCACAAGTAGGCAGAGAGGCAGGCAGAGAGAGAGAGAAGAGGAAGCAGGCTCCCCAATGAGCAGAGAGCCTCAAACGGGGCTAGATCCCAGGACCCTGGGATCATGTCCTGAGCCAAAGGCAGAGACTTTAACCCACTGAGCCACCCAGGTGCCCCTGAAAAGCTAATTTTTAAAATCCCCAGTAGGAATGAGCACACCCAGCACCCAGATCTTGGTTTATATAATACCATTCTCCAATAAGAGGAACTAGGGATCCTTGGAAAAAAGGCTGATTTGGGCCTGGACCAGAAAATATACAAGATGAAGCAGCTAAAAAATAGTGCCAGAAAGTAAGGAAGTGCTCAAAACAAAAGCCCAGTGTCGATGGGGTATGTCAGAGGCATACAGTAGTGAAATGAATAAGCTTCCAGTGGCCACAGATGGAAAAATTTGAGAGACAAAAATCAATGAAGACTATTGGATTATAACCCAAAATATAAAATAAAATTAATGAATCCATAGTGATATTTACAAATGAATCAATAGGGTGGAAGAAACAAATCTCCCATGCAGAATTCTGAATATTTTATGCAGACATTCCACTCTCAGAGGGAGCGTAACTCCCTGCCCTTGAAGTGTGGGCTGTACGTGGAGACTTCCTTCCAAAGAGCAGAGTGTGGAAAGGGAGAAAAAAGAGTAACTTTAAGTATAGAAACCTAATACTACCTCAGCCAGGTGACTGAGGTCAACATCAACCATGATAAACCATGTTTACAGTATGTACTCTGGTTACAATGTGGTGAAAATGCCACTTTAAATCTGTAGCTTCCAAAATCCATAACCCATCTAACCATGAGGAAAATACCAAATACCACAGAGAGGCATTCTACAAAATACCTGACTAGTAATCCTCAAAATTGCCAGTCATCAAAAATAAAGTCTAAGAAACTGTCAGTCTAGAGGAGCCTAAGGAGACATGGTGACTAAATGTAATGTGGTGTCGTTGATCAGATCCTAGAACAGAAAAAAGGGCATTTGGTAAAAACTAAGGAAATCTGGATAATATATGGATTTTAGTTAACGACAATGTACAGGTGCTGGCTCATCAATTATGACAAATGTACCATGTGATGTTAATAACCAGGTGTGAGGTAAAGATAGAACTCTGTACTATGTTTTCAATTTTTCTGTAAATCTAAAACTTCCTTGAAAAAATAAGGTCTAAAAAAATAAAGTCAACAAAAAAAGTATTATAATTCAATCTCTCTGGACACTTTCCATATTTATAAAAATGAAGGCGGGTAGAATATCCTCTCTCTCTTTGCTATCCAGTATTTTCTCCCTTTATTTTTTTTTTAAGATTTTATTTATTTACTTGACAGAGATCACAAGCAAGCAGTGGGGGGGGGGGAAGCAGGCTCCCTGCTGAGCAGAGAGCCTGACTGGGGGCTCCATCCCAGGACCCCGGGATCATGACCCGAGCCGAAGGCAGAGGCCTTAACCCACTGAGCCACCCAGGTGCCCCAAGTACTTTCTCCCTCTTAACATGAATTTGGCTTTTTTCCCTTCATTCCACTACTGTCTATTACACTAGGCATGGTTTTAGACTTGGGATACAACAATAAATGGAATAAAGATTCCTGCTCTCGTAGATATCACATTATAGTAGTGAAAGCTTATGTATTGTGGTATAATTGAGTAATTTTCAAAAACACTATTGTTTCTTTCCTAGGTTTGTACCATACATTTCTCCTGATAAAGTAATAAACAATTCCTACTGACAATTCTTCCTTATCAGCAAGGAGCTATTTAAGATATCACCACCACCATGGGGCTCCTGGTGACTCAGTTGGTCGAGCACCCGACTCTTGATTTAGGCTCTGGTCATGATCTCAGCGTCTTGGGATGCTGGGTTGGGCTCTGCCCTTAGCACTGGGATTCTTTCTCTCCCTCTGCTTCTGCCCCTCCCCCTGCTCACACTCTGACACTCTAACAAATAAATAAATCTTAAAAAAATAAAAATAAAAAGTATCACCACCTCTTTGAACGAAAGAAGTTGCTAAGGCTAGGGCCAGGAGAGGACAAGTTTAAAGTGAGCCTTAACCTGAGACTTTGTAGGGTATCGTGCTCCACATTTTCTAAGACATACAAATGCTACAGTTGTCAGCATCATAGAATTCAAGCTCTCAGAGCTTGTGACTGTTACCTTACTCTTATGGATAGGCCCCAATTCCTCCCAAAAAGGACGTTCAAAGTGAGATAGTGAATAAATCTTTTACTTCAAGGTTTTCTGTACATATTATCTGTATACTTAGCTATTCATGCGATCTGCCTTTTTTTTTCTCCTTTGTAACACAGACCTAATTACTTTTTGGAATTTTTTTAGGTAACATATATAAAGTACAGTTTTCATAAATATTGATGTTGACAGGGGCACCTGGGTGGCTCAGTGGGTTAAAGCCTCTGCCTTCAGCTCAGGTCATGATCCCAGGATCCTGGGATCGAGCCCCGCATCAGGCTCTCTGCTCAGCGGGGAGCCTGCTTTCCCCCCTCTGTCTCTGCCTGCCTCTCTGCCTACTTGTGATCTCTGTCTGTCAAATAAATAAATAAATAAATAATCTTAAAAAAAAATTGATGTTGACAACAAATGTATTGGTTTGCATGTATGTGTATTTTTCATTAGCAATGACGACACTGCTGATAAAGGCATTACAGTTGATAGGACAAAATGAGTCACTGGGAATTCATGATTGCTAGGAGCTGCAGCTGACAGAGGCTGACGTTTCTGGTGCCTTAAGGATTCTTACATCATCTAGATAAAACCTGGGGCCAATCCTTTAAATTCGATAATCATGCCAAGATTAAAGGCTATAGAAAGGTAGCTTAAGGAAATTTTATAGATATTCCATTAATAAAAGCAAAGCATAGCTCCAAGGGTTTATTGCTATTTACTAAAACATTATGGATTCAAACCAGGATAATGTTCTTAGAAAGGGGTCAGAATCTTTTTAGTCCTGTGTCTAGCCATTTAACTGGAAGCTAACTTTATCTGCCACACCAATACCAAGAACTAAACACTAAAACTCACCTCAGATGGATAAGGAAGAAGGAAAATATTGAGCCTAGGAAATAGGAGAGAGATTTTTAAAGGAAAAGAACTACTGTGTTTGGTACTAGTAGGACACCCACCACAACAGACAGGTTGTACACTTTTTTCCTGCCATCTATTTCTTCGTTTTGTGTGTGTGTGTGTGTGTGTGTGTGTGTGTGTGTGAGAGAGAGAGAGAGAGAGAGAGAGAGAGATGTTTTGCTGTCAAGCGAAGGGGTACTTCATACTGTCATCACATGAGCAAAAGTGAAACAACATTCTAACACAGAGGCTACCATCATAAAAACTAGAAAAAGTTTTTCTAGTAAAATCTCCTATAATGGAGATTTTACTGGGATGAGCAGCCTCCTCCGAAGTGAAATTCTTCATAGGTCACCCTTGACGGTCGCCATCTTGGAAACCTAAGAGTGAGGAGAAACTGCAAAGCTACTTCCAGAATCGGAACTGGCCTACCGTGAGAGACCTTATAGAGAACTCCTAGGTCCCAGTGGGGAAAGAGGTGCTGTAGACCCAAAAGGAACAACAAAAGTGGCTGGCAAAGAAGCTGGGTGGTTTCTGGCCAGCAGCCCAACATACAAGAGGCAAAACACGGGGACTGGGGGATGGAGAAAAGGGTGGTACAGTTAAGAGGAATTAAGAAGGAGTGAAGGCAAAGGGGCCACTCCACCAAAAATGATACAACAGTCAGGACACCTCTTCCTCCCCTAGCCCAGCTCTCAGCTCCCGGAGTGAGCCCAGGCTCCCTAGGCTCCAGCCGAAGACTGCCCCACATGAAGTACTTCCAGCCACACTCGCACAGGTAAAGGACCAGCCACCCCTGACCTGGATGTGTGCGGCCTGCAAGGGACACAGCCATCCTCAGACAAAAGAAATTTGTTCCTGCAGCACCCATCCTCCGGCTGGTGGGCACGACCCCGTAGCACAGCTCATGGCCACCTCCTCGGGAGGCAGACTAAAAGAATGGAGGAGGAAAATGGTAGAACAACTGTTTGAGGCTGCAAGAGTGAGGCTGGCTGGCTACTGAGGCTGCACAAGGCCGCGTCCAGCCCATGCGGGCTTCGTGGGGTTTTCGCACACCTGGAGCAGATGAGAGGCCAGGAGGCAGGCTGTGATGTACTGCACCTGCGCCTGTCACCTGCACAGGGGAGAGCTGACAGGCTTCAGGGAGGCTCCTTGGGCTCCTGGGCTCTAAGGGCACGAGGTGCAAAAGATAACAACAAACTAGAGAGCCTCAGTTATCAGAGTTCTGCGCACCTAGAACTCATCCACTGGAGAGCTCGAGTAAATTTATTTCTAACCAAACCTTGTCTGGATGTGTTCAATAAGGGCTTTTTGACCCTCCACTGGGAACTTCCCCCAGAACTGCTGCAGAAAGAGAGCTGTGTGCTACTTTTAATCACCCACAAATGTGAGCTAAAGCGGAGAGAGTCAAAGTTTTAAAACTCTCTGCAAAGGGGATTTTTAAAGAAGATATGAAACCCTAAGAATTTGATCAGGGCAGGGCTAATTGATAAGCATTTCCACTAGTGGATGGGAAAGCTCAACTCATTATTTATGAAGCAGTTAAATGCAGAATCCAAAATTCCCCTCTTTGGGATACACCAAGGCTTCTAGTTCTCTTGTTCCACCACGTTCTACCTAATTGTTTTCTAACTCATTTGTAAATCATAATACATAACACACCTCTGACAAATTCTTTTAGAAGAAACAGAGCAGTGTTTCTCAAACTTTTTTTCATTATCTCTCCCTCAAGGGCCTTTTTAGACTTTCTTGACCAATCGCTCAGCTCCACCCATCCCCAAAATGAAATTAAATATTAAAGAATAAGAGGGGCAGCTGGCTGGCTCAGTCCATGGAGCAAGTGGTCTTGATCTCAGGATTGGGAGTTCGGGCCCCACATTGGGTGTAGAGATGACTTAAAAATAAAATCTGAAAAAACATGAAGAATAAGATTTTGTCTGGTAGGGTTGAACTTTAGGGAGTGAAACCCTTGTAGTATCTAATATTTTCCCCCCAACCGGCCCCCCATAACCAATTTTACACTCTTGGTGGTGATATTGCCCCCTGTGGAGAATACACAACGTAGAGCAGTTTTAGTTTCCTAGAATATTTCTTGTAGAAACTATAGTTTGTGCCCTTCCAATATTTGTAAAGATTTCCTAAAATGAAATTTTTAATTTGTTGTACAAATAACAGCTTTAAAAAAAAAAAAAAGGCAAAATCCACATTAGACTCCGGTATCCCTGCTATTCTAACTAAACTCTCTCATGATCCTATTTGTGCATTTGAGGGAAGAGCTGAAACAAGGGAAAAGAACAGAATAATGGGAAACCAATCACGTTCAGCAGCAGAGGACTAGAATGAAAACTATGCAGATTGCAAGAATAAGAGTATGAACTATGACTCTCTGCCCAGTGGGTGCACCTCCACAAGAGCCACGTTAAGTCCTTAGGAGCTGCATATCCGTCTTCTAATTTTTCCCACTGGTCCTGTCCTAGCCTATTCTAAATTATTTTGGTCCTGATTTCTTAGTTTTGTTTAATTGTGTATTTTCTATAACCACCTTAAATTGTGAAATGAAAGAAATATTTCATATATATGTGCTCTATGTATGTGTACACATATATCAGAAGTACATGTATGCATGCGTACACATGTATGTCAATAATCAATTAATTGAGGGACCCTAAGTACTGTGAGATACTTGAGACATAAATCAGGCCATACTGACCTCATAACCATAACACAGCAAGCGTAGCAGTAGTTCGCTCAACAAACGACAAGCAAATGGTCTGCACTTCCGGTGTGGCATTTCAACAGAGACACCAAATCAACTACTTGGGTTTATATGTGTTTTTTTAATGATTTTATTTATTTATTTGACAGAGATCACAAGTAGGCAGAGAGGCAGGCAGAGAGAGAGGGGGGAAGCAGGCTCCCTGCTGAGCAGAGAGTCCGATACAGGGCTTGATACCAGGACCCTGAGATCACAACTTGAGCCGAAGGCAGAGGCTTAACCCACTGAGCCACCCAGGTGCCCCTACTTGGGTTTATATGAATTGGAATAATATTACAAGGTTCAAAGACATTTTGTTTAATTTTTTATACCATAAAATTTTATTTCTGTTTCCTTCTGATATACATGGTCTTAAAGATAAGTGCTTACTTAGTAAAAATCATACATACGAAGTCAATGAAGCAATAAAGTAAGTAAAGAAATTTAAATAAAGAAATAAAAAAATAAAGAATTAAATTTTGACACAAGAAAAAAGCGCTGGTTGTTTTGTGAGAAAAATCATTTTATATTATACTGGGTTGTTATACATATTCTACTAAATCTGAAGACAACTCTTATATATGACACACCTCAGAAGGAAAACTTGCCTCTGTAAGGGTTGGGTATCATTAGAACTGAGCTATGAGACACTCAGAGAGAGAAATCTCCCATTTCCTTTTCCAAACCTTGTGGGACTGAACTTACATCATGGGTCTCTAGTGTTTTTTGTTTTGTTTTGTTTTGTTTTTTAACAGATCAGATTAAAATACTTTCCAAAAAAAAACCCAAAAAATAAAATACTTTCAAAATGTATAAGTCTGATATCTTCTGTTCTATTGAACGGTGAAGCATTAAGAGGCTTTAAAATACCAGGTCTTTTTGGATATTCCAGAGTGTGTCTGCACTCTTCTTAAAAAGGGCCGCCTCCTCCGAATTCAAGTTAACTTTCACAACATCTGAGACACCATTTCTCCCCAAGATACAAGGGATACTGAGAAAGATTTCTTCATTTATTCCGTATAAGCCCTAAAAGGCAAAATTAGATTATTGTTCAGTAACCTGATATGGAAAAGCAATTCTGCAAGAAAGCTTCAGAATAAGAGGATACCAGAGAGACCACGTTGCTCACTAGAATCAGAGGGGGGCAGAGTAATTAATACTGATCCTAACGTCCTATGACTGCGGAGTTTGTGTTCAAGGACATGAAGAACATGCCAGAGGTCTTCAAAGGCACCAAGAGAGGCACTATCTACTATTACCCCTTACCAGGTCCACTTCTCTGTCCAAAGAAAAGATGTCATCCAATCCTTCATGATGCCGTTTTATCTGATAAAGGACTGCAAAACCAAGTGACCTGTGTTGGATGTAAACTACATCAAGAGAACAGTGAAGGTTGAAGTGGCTGGGAAAGTGACTGCTTTGTTTAAGCAGACCTTTACACCAAGAGGCACCACTGAGTCAGACACCAGATGCTACAGGTGACAGCTCCATTCTCCAAAGCTGAAGCCTCCAATGCAGCCTACAGGTACTCTCATGTGCCTAGCAGGGCCTTTGTCTTTCCCCTGCCAGTTACCAATGGAATGAACCCCTGTCATTCTGGCTACTTCTATCCACCACTCCATTTGACTTCTATCCAGGACCTCGTGTGATGAACATGGAATAGTTGCAACCATGGCCACCACCTTATCCCTCCTGGAACCTCCAGCTAGCAGCCCTGATGTTCCCTCCGCTCCTGCAGCCAAAGCCGAGGTTGCAGAGGCAGCTTCCAGAGGTAATTACAACCGGGGCAACAAACCTACAGGCCTACATGCCCACAAACCTGTTTCTGCCACCCTCCTACTACCCCCTGGAAGAGAAGACCCAGTAGACCCCCTCACACCTCCCTCTGCCTTCCACCACTCATTGTTCTCTCCTATCCACCCCTTGGGGTTGAGTCTAGGGTTGGAGGCAGCAATGGGAAAGTCTTGTTCTCCCTCCTTCCTTCCTTATAATTAAACAGTTACCGGGAACTAGCACAGAGGGAAAGAAGAGGCTCCTTGACTCTGGAGTGGTACCTACCAGCGTCCCACAGCAGCTCAGAGCCCGCAGGTGCTACTCAGCCAAGCTTCCCTCTCGCCATCTCTGAGGATCTCAGGGTGTGGCCCTTGCTCCTGTTTCACTCTAAGTCTCCCACAGAGGGACTCTGGCTACCTCCTCCACCCCAGTGTGGTTCCCTCACTTTGGTAGGCACTTTACACTCAACCTCAAAAGCTCCATCACACCAGCCACATGTCTTCCTCTGAGGGCCCCTGCCAGGCTATTCTCACATTCCCTCCTCTCTGGTCTGTGCCTACCCATAGAAGGCCACTGCCCCACCAGACCGTCAGCCCACAGTCCATTCCCAGCCGGGCTCCAGCTCCAGTTACACTCACCTTGCCTTGCCTTCCCTGCCCTTGGTCATTCTGTTGCCACCTCTGTGTAACTTTTGGGAGTTTCAGCGTGAGTTGCTGGGGATTGGGTGGCATCAGAAACAAGGCCACTGTGGCTGAGGAGGAAGCCCCTCTGCTTCCCTGTTAGTGGTTTGGGGATTTGTTTCCCGTCTGCTTTCTCTGTCTTTCTTCCAGAAGGGGCTTCTCAGACTAGAACTGAAGAATGTATATTCATCCCATCATGCCATTTGCAGGCTGCTGAGTGGGATGGAGATAAGGGGCCTGGCCCTGCCTGGTCCTATGTGCTGACCATGACTGTTACTAGTCCCTTCTTCTCTTTAGGCTTCATGCCTCGTTGACAATATGACAATATGACTCTCGAATACACTAAAATTGGCTCTCATTTGTTCCTGGACTGGCCATGAAATGAGGAAATGACTATTTAAAAACAATTCCCTATATAGTTGGGAAAAAAAATCTAGTCAATATATTAATATGAAACAAACTGTTTGTATACCCTTATTTATTTGCTGAAAATGAGAAGTAATAAAATTGAAGTAACTGGGATTAAAAAAAAGAGTACAGGATTGGTTATGTTCTTAATGTCAAATGTTTTATCAAATTTTTCTTTTAAAATTTAACTTGTCCATTGATTTGTTCAGTAAGAACTACGAAATTCCCATATCTCAGTCTCTCCTCAGAGCATTTGACATCTCCCTGACCTTGCCTCAGGAGTGCCCTAGAGGTCATTGCTTATTCTCCCACATCTTCTGTACACCCTCAAAAGAGGAGGGGTATGTGGTATCCGTTGTGTACTCATTGTCTCTTTCAAATCATTAGCCCCTACTCTCTTAACATTCCCCCTATTTTTTGAGGCTCATCTACTAATGACCATTTACTAACCTCTTGGTTACTCCATCTCATTCATAAAAGACTGACACCTAGCTCACAGTTTTTCCTCTCTGCTCTGATTTCTGCAAATAACCTTGGTGACTTCATTGTCCATGTGGATAAACTAACCATAACCAAGCCCCTTTCTTTCAAGTTTCTTGACTTCTTCAGCTCATAACCCTTTCTCCCCCATCCCAAGTATCCTACTGTGGACCTTGTTAGAGCGTCCCTCCATATCGATGATTTATCCTGTAACTCTTTCACCATATACTAAGACCTTCTGCCCTGTTTTAATTTTCAGTTTATGAATATTTCTTAAAGTCCTTATTATTCATTTTCTTTTTATAATTTATTCATTTGTATGTAGATCACATTTAAGGACAAAGGTCTTGAATTTTGTCTGTGACCCTTCAGCAGAAAGTCAAACCCATTACTAACATGTGTATAAGCCAAAAGCTATACTTCCCCCATCCCTCCCCTCTACTTTCTCCCCCACCCTCTCTTTCATGCTCCAGCAAGTAAAACCTACACCCACATGAATTCAGCTACCTTCCCTCCCCATTCCTGTGCACACATCCCTGGAGAAAACTACACAATAAAGTCAATCTTTAACTAAATTAATTAATGCATACCAACCTCAAATGAGCATCCACCTAACAGTAATTCTGTTTTTTGGGGGGAGTCAAATTCTATTTCTCACTATCTACAAAGATGATTCAAAATCTTCTCAAACATCTGACTTCTCTATATATCCTCTGATTCTCAGTAGGTGATTTTGTCTCTTCACTAAAAATAAGTCGTTGGATGCATCCAATGTCTAACTTATAAATCTATGGGATTCACTGCCTATCCTCTATTATCTCCTGCTACAGCAAATAGCTCTGTCTCGTCCTTTCTAAGGCTAATACCTTCATCTATGCTCTGGATCCCACCCTCTCTGCTATTACTTCTATCTTCAATATCTTCTTTTACCATCAGCATCTTATCTTTAAAAACAAAAAAACAAAAAAATACAAACTTGACTGACTTGATTTTCCTCTCCAGTTACTACTCTCTCTCCTTACCTTGGCAGCCAAATACCTCAAAAGAGCTGTTTACACTTGTCTTGATTTCCTCAAAATTTCTCAAGGGACCCTCCAAAGGGACATTGGGCAATACCTGGAGACATTTTTGACTGTCAAAACTGGGGAAAGAGAGTATGCTATGGCATCTGACAGATAGAGGCCAGGGATGCTGTTAACATTCCACAATGAACAGGGCAGCCCTCCAACAGTGAAGAATTATCTGGTCCAAAGTCAATAGTGCCTAGGTTAAGAAAACCCTACTGAACTCCAATCAGGCTTTCATTCCTACTACTTCAGTAAAGAGCTCCTCTTAAGTTTATCCATGACCTCTGTCACTTTATCTTCCTGGCATTTTTAATCCCAATTTAAATGACTTCTCAACATCAATCAACAGAAAACCAATTCTTTCATCTTTAAAGCATCCTCCTCTCTCTTGGTTACCATGAATCCACATTTTTTTCCCTTGGTTTTTCTTTTAACTCTCTGGCCACTACTTCTTAGTCACTTTGTGGGCTCACACTATAAACTCAACTTTTAACACTGGAATTCCTCAAGACTCAGTCTGTCTTCTCACTTTATTACACTCTCCTTAGGCAAGCTCATTAAAATTCCCAGCTGCAGTTACCAAGGGTATGGGATACCTGTTGTCTGTGCTTGTCCAGCATCTCTTTCTTTATTGTTGGTGGTGGTGTTGACAGAAGCTCTCTCCCTCTCAGGAACGGTCTCTTTCCAAACTGACTCACACTTAGAACTTCAACTGAAACTCTTTTATGAGTTCCAGAAACTGTACCCAACTGCCTATTTCCCCTCGGATATTGAAAAGGCACCTAGGGATGCCTGGGTGGCTCAGTCGTTAAGCATCTGCCTTCAGCTCGGGTCATGATCTCAGGGTCCTGGGATCGAGTCCCGCATCGGGCTCTCTGCTCGGCGGGGAGCCTGCTTCCTCCTCTCTCTCTCTTTGCCTGCCTCTCTGCCTACTTGTGATCTCTCTGTCTGTCAAATAAATAAATAAAATCTTTAAAAAAAAAATCCCAACAGATTAATAAAAAAAAAAGAAATAAAAAAAGAAAAGGCACCTGAAATTCAACTTGTCCATAACTGCAAACATGATCTTTAAACCTGGTTCTCCTTGAGAATTTTCTTCCTCAGTGGATATCACTGTCTATATAATGGTGCAAAATATAAACCTACAAGTGACCTTTCTCTTCCTTATTTCCTACTTAATTCCATTACCAAGTCCTATGAATGTTACCTCCTAAATACAGTGTCTCTCAAATTCATCCCCTTCTCTTCACCTCTACTACTATCCTTTCTATTCTGGGCTACTGCTCATCTTCTTGACAAGTTTCCACATGTCCACTCTTGTCCCTTTCAAATCTGTTCCATCACAGCCATAAAAATATTTATATCATGAAAACCTGCCAGTCTCTCGCTTAAATTCTTTTGGTGGCTTCCCATAGCCTTTATGGTAAGGATCCAAATCCTTTTATAAAGCTTTCAGTGGCCAAACCCTGCTTGCTTCTCCAGTCTCACCATGCACTTCCCTTCATTCTCTGCATTCCAGCAACTCAACCTTTTTTCAGCTCCACAAGTGCCCTCTATTTATATCGAGCTCTGTTCCTCTGTATGTGTGTTCCCTCTGCTTAGACTATTAGTCCAGCCTTCCAAATTAACTCCTACTCATTATTCAGAATAGGTCACATTTGACTTCCTTATGCTTCTACCCAGGGTAGTTAAATTCTCTTCTTGTATACTCTTAAATACTTGATAGTTTTCCATCATTTCACTTATCGTAATTTGTTATTATATATTTCCTTTTATAATTGTTTTACTAAGTCCATTTTTTCTTGAACTTTATGAGGTCAGGGCCTTTTTTGTTCACCACTATATCCTCAACATCTTGTATAATGCCCGGCACACAGTAGAGAATCAACAAATATTAAAGAAAAGATGATGAATGAAGAGTCAATTTAAGCCTACCTTAACCATAGTCGAAACTGGATGCACTCTCCTAAGATTTTTCAAAATTGATCCTGCCAGATCTGTCACAGACAGTCCAATAGCCCAAGAGGTATATCCTTTAAGCTTGATAATCTCATAGGCACTATGGTTATAGAAAGTAAGAAAATCAAATTAATGGCAAATCAACTCAGAGAAAACATTATTTTTCAAGAATCCAATTTGAAGTAACCTATATGTCAATGCCACTCCCAGAGATTTTTTTCTAGAAATTATTTATGAACAGGCAATAGAAGTTTCTATACTATTTTCATAAACTTCATTATTCAATTTAAGTAATAACTAACCTACCCTTCTCTTATCATAAAAGCAGAATCCTAGGGCATATGTGCAACTAAAGATGAAACTTTTTTGAGTTTTTTTATTGTTGCTTAAGTATGCAAACAGAATCTGATCATCTTGAAGGTTAGCATATACATCTTGCTGACCACTTAAAGCTGTTACTAGGGTGCCAATGTAACTTTATATAATTAAAAGACATGTGTACATATTGTTCATAAGAATAAATTATTAAATCAATAATATATGAAAATATGGGAATATGTTCATGATACATTTTCAAAGGAAAAAGGCACAGTCCTAAAGAACCTAGATATCCATCTACAGATGAATGGATAAAGATGATGTGGTATATATATACAATGGAATATTATGCAGCCATCAAAAGAAATGAAATCTTGCCAGTTGCAACGATGTGGATGGAACTAGAGGGTATTATGCGGAGTGAAATGAGTCAATCAGAGAAAGACAATTATCATATGATCTCCCTGATATGAGGAATTTGAGAGACAGAGTGGGGGACTTGGGGTAGAGAAGGAAAAAATTAAACAAGATGGGATCGGGAGGGAGGCAAACTTTCAATCTAACAAAACAAACTAAGGGTTGCTGGGAGGAAGGGGGTATGGAGAGGGTGGTTGGGTTATGGACATTGGGGAGGGTATGTGCTGTGGTGAGTGCTGTGAAGTATGTAAGTCTGACAATTCACAGACCTGTACCTCTGGGGCAAATAATACATTATTTTTTGTATGTTAATAAAAATAATAAATAAATAAGTAAATAAATAAATAGAAAAAAAAGACACAGTCCTAAACATTATACAATTTCTTATCTCAGGCTCATAACAAACATCATTCATATCTATAAAAACTTTAGAATTGCATCAATACACAAAGTTTTTCACAGTGATTATTTTTAAGTGATATTACAAGTGATATGATCTTCTTTTTTTTTTAATATTTTATTGTTTATTTAACAGAGAGAGACAGAGAGATCACAAGTAGGCAGAGAGGCAGGCAGAGACGGGGGAAGCAGGCTCCCCGCCAAGCAGAGAGCCCGATACGGGGCTCGATCCCAGGACCCTGAGATCCTGACCCGAGCTGAAGGCAGAGGCCTTAACCCACTGAGCCACCCAGGTGCCCCATAAGTGATATGATCTTCTTTACACTTTTCTGAATTTTCCTAGTTTCTATAATAAATATGTATTCTATTTCTGCATTGCCACCCAAAGATTTGGATGGACAGTCAAAAGCAAAGAACAAAGAGGTTTTAACTTAGCACTAAGTTTGTTTAGTTCTGAGAAAAGGATCCAAAATAGTAAAAGGAATGTTTGGCATCAGTATTCATATCGGTAGTCTTACAACCATGTGGGCACAGTTTCAAGGCCCCAAGACTGTACGCAGGACACTTGGTAGCAAAAGATAAGACCGATGTGTGTATGGACCACCTTAGCACAGGAAAGTTGAGACTGGACTATACTCATTGTGGTATTCCTATGATTTGACTGTGGGCTCAGTTGAATCTAAAACTGGGGCCACAGTTAGAAGGCATGCAGATTGCTATCAAATTTAGGATTAACTTTCAGACTCTCAATTCAATATAACCAAGACTCTGTGGGGTAAGTAAAAGGAAAGAGAGGGAGACTCTAATGGCTGATTGATGATACATGAGTTGAAGAAAGCTCTGCAGTAGATAACTGGGGAAAAAACTTACCAGTGGAATCTGGGTGACAGATCCACCCTCTCAGGAATTAACAAAATAGATTGACAAAGAGAAAACGGTTGGGAAAAAAATGGCTAAAAATATAATACTTTAATTTTTAACCATCCTAATGAAAATAAAAGTGCTGCTATAAAGAGGTAAAGAAAGCAAATAGAACATGCAGTTTTAACGCTACTATCTTAACACAAAAACTGATTGTTCTGGGGGCACCTGGGTGGCTCAGTGGGTTAAGCCTCTGCCTTTGCCTCAGGTCATGATCTCAGGGTCCTGGGATCCAGCCCCGCATCGGGCTCTCTGATCAGCAAGGAGACTGCTTCCCCTCCCCTCTGCCTGTCTCTGCCTACTTGTGATCTCTCTCTCTCTCTCTCTGTCAAATAAATAAAATATTTCTATATATATATATATATATATATATAAATGAACTGATTGCTCTGTTAAAAACGTAGAAGTATATCCTATTAAATCATGATGTCACTGCCTTGCAATTGTTGGTTAGCCACTGGAAAATCAGAGGCTATAATAGAAAACAGTTGGGTTGTCTTAGATAAAAACTAGCAGTCTCATGAGGATCCTTTATAATTATAGATCCTCTGCTAAACAACCAAGGTGCAAATAATTTAATTTGAACACTGCATTGTTGGGAGGACTAACTGGAATGTGTACTGATCTGTAATATGTTGCTGTATTTGGTATTTTTTTTGAAAGATTTTATTTATTTATTTGACAGAGAGATCACAAGTAGGCAGAGAAGCAGGGAGAGAGAGGAAGAAGCAGGCTCCCCGCCGAGCAGAGAGCCCAATTCGGGGCTCGATCCCAGGACCCCAGGATAATGACCCGAGCTGAAGGCAGAGGCTCTAACCCACTGAGCCACCCAGGTGCCCTTTGGTATTTATTTTTAAAGAAAGTTCTTTTTAAAAAAGATTTAATTAATTTATTTATTCATTTGACAGAGAGAGACAGCAAGAGAGGGAACACAAGCAGGGGGAGTAGGGGAGGGAGAAGCAGGCTTCCCACTCAGCAGGAAGCCAGTGTGGGGCTTGAACCCAGAACCCCGGGATCATGACCCAAGCTGAAGGCAGATGCCTAACAACTGAGCCAACCAGGCACCCCATAGTATCTGGTATTTAAATCACACAGAACTTCAGTGGAAAATGTGGTCTTAATCATTATTCCCATATAGCAACAGCATTTTAAATTAGAAAGGAACTATAACATTCCCTGTGATACAATTATTAGGAATTGGATAGACAGAGACCAATGTTGTAACATCCCTGCAAGAACTAGATCGGCGGCTCCGCTGACATTTGCAAACCAGTATTGGCTAAAACATGTTCCTTAGTGGTTGGGTTGTGTCTCTGCCTCCAGATCAGGTCATTTCTGCATTTACTAGGAAATGGCCTCTAATGGCCCCTGTATCTGGAAATATGTGGTATATGGGTAAAGGACACTTGTGTTAAGAAGAATAGGAAATGATACTATAATATTAACAGGTTTTTTTGCTAGGCACTAACTTGATCTCTTAGCCAAAGCTATTTGGTATAACAAAGGTTAGTAGGTTTCTGTAAGGAAATTTAAGAAAATAAGAGGTGCCTGGGTGGTTCAGTTGGTTAAGCATCCAACTCTTGATTTTGGCTTAGGTCATGATTTCAGGGTTGTGAGATCAAGCCCCGATTCAGACTCCGTGCTGGGTGTGAAGCCTGCTTAAGAGTCTCTCACTCTCCCTCAGCCCCTCCCACTCTGTGTGTGTGCTTTCTCTATCCCTCTCTCTCTAAAAAGTAAAGAAAAGAAAAAGGAAAAAGAAAGAAAATGAAACATACTGATAAAAATAACCAAAATGAAAAGATAGTTGACCTAAAACTTCCAACTGATGTGATCTCTGTAGAAATAATTAGGCCAGAGGAGGAAATAAATTTGCTTTAGAAATATCAAACACACAATTAAATGAGTCTGTCAATACATTTAATAAGGTACAAGTGATAATAAATAAAAGTGGAAGATAGGATAGTCCAATTAACTAAGGATTACCAAAACACCTGTGAGTGATTTTGGTTACCTGTTTTATAGATCCTGGTGGTTATGGGTATACCAGCTTGTCTTTTTTCTTATGTATAAAATATTGAAGACATGTTTGTCAAAGGAACTCTGAGGAATATATGATACAAAGAGGATCACCCAAGATCATGGAGAGGTATCATGGGTAGAAGGTTAACAGTAGGTATGAATCCTTTCCAAAAAGGCAGGACTATCTAGGAAGATGACTTTGGGTATGCTTTTGCATGAAACAGTTTTCTAGATTAAAAAAAAAAAAAAACTGGTTTAAGCACTGGACAATTCTGAAAAGATGAGGAAGTAGGAAGCACCAGGATTCTATCTCCCCACATAGACAATAACTGTTTTGTCAAAAATCTGTCTGATATAACTATTCTGGAACTTTGGAGTCTATTAAAGGCTTGAAACTTTCAGGGAAAGGTTCCAACGGTAATTTGTAGTTAATTTTGGCCAATTTCAGCTCTTAGCACAGTAGAAGCTACTCATCCCCCAACCTCAGCAGGTAGATGTTCACATGTTCACCAAGCAGCTTGTGCACAGCCTGCAAAAAGGACCCCAGCCTCTAAATATCGAGGATCTGTGCTCTAATGGCTGATGGGTTGCTTCTGATGACAGATGTGTAGAAAAAGAAAGGCAGCCATTGTTGTTGCAACTCCCCCCGATCATTGCAAAAAAAAAAAAGACCTGGCAACAAAGGATCTTACAATTTATATTTGGCAAAACTGTCCCTCTAAAATGAGGGAGAAATTAAGATATGCCCAAAGAAACCACAGTTGAGGGAGTTATCACCATTAGACCTGGCCTGTAAGAAATACTCAGTAGAGTTCTGTAGGGTAAAATGAACAGTAACTCAAAGCCATATGAAAACATAAAGATCTCAATAAAGGAAAATGCTTGGGCAATTATAAAAAGCTAGTAATATTGTAACAATGGTTGTAATTCTACTTTTAAAAAAATAATTTAACAGACCAATACATTTTTTAAAAACAATCAAAAAAATAATATTATTGTGACTTTAGTTTGTAATTGTTTTCAAAG